AAAAGAAAAGAAAAGGTTAAGAAGGAATGCCAACAAAAAAAAGGGACTGAGTTTGCAATCTATATATAATGATGTGACAATCTTTTTTTTTTTGCCCTAAATATTTTGATTTACATGAAAGACTACTCTCTTTCATTTATGTGATTTACTTATATATTATAGGAGTCAAATTAATATTTTATATTTTCAATAAAACAAAAAAACCATTGAATATTCTCAATAGTCTAAATCGTGAGATCATTTTCTAAATCACTATAAATGCATAAAATCTGTGCTTCATATGGGTATTAATTTAGTTGAAGACTTAGAGATAAGAAATTCTCCTTTCACTACTCTGAGGTAGAATCAAAACTACACCCGTGCATTGAATATGGTACAGGTTTACGAAGGTTAAGAGTTTGGTTTCAATTTTTGTAAAATTAATTTTCCTTCCCCAAATTCCTCTACGTCAAAAAAACAAAAGAAGGTAGAATCAAGTCTATATTTTATGAATTAATCAAGTCTGTACTTTCTGATGTTTTGATGGATCTCTATCATGCCCCTAGATAATGGAGCAATTTGTCGCCAGACCATATGTAGCTATGTTCAATGCTATTCTTCGCAACTCTGATGATGACATCCCAACAGATCCTGTATCTGATCCCATTAGTGATTCCATGGTGCTCCCTATTCCAGTTGGCAAAACAAGTTTTGGCGCTGGTGCACAACTGAAAAATGCGGTAAGCAATCCAAGTGTGGCATCTTAGGTTTATTTTAGAGTCAGATTATTGGACATTATGTTAGACAAGTCACATTATTATCACTCAACTAATTGACTATTTTAATGCTTCTTTCCTGGGTGTTAGAAATAGAAAAAGAAGGAGAAATATTTGAAGAAAAGTTTATTACTTTCTTCAATGATATTGTATGTACAATGACTTATATATATAGGTATTTACAAAGAGAATATTTTGAGGTATAAAGTATATAAAGAGAATATTTTAAGGTATAAAATATTTACAATTAATGTAAATATAATCTAAATTATTGTGTTCATATTTTAACATCCCTCCTCAAACTCAAGGTGATTGTGATGAAACCAACTTGAGTTTGGAAAAAAGAGTATGAAAGCGTCTAGGAAAATGAGTCTTAGTGAAAAGGTCTACTGGTTGATTAGCAGAGCCAATAAAAACCAAATGAACAGTTCATTGTGCAACATTATGGCGAACAAAGTGACAGTCAACCTCAATATGTTTAATGCGTTCATGGAAGACATCATTACAAACAATCTACATGGCACTCTGATTGTCACAATAAAAATTAGTAGCAGGCTGTTGAGAGACACCCATATCTTCTAGTAGTCAACGTAAATTAAGTAACTCTGATGTGGTGTCTCCAAGTGCTCGATATTCAGCTTCTGTGCTAGAACGTGATTGAATTGTTTGCTTCTTGCAACGCCAAAAGATTAAGGAATCACCAAGAAAAAGACAATATCTACTGGTGGATTTACGATCATTAGAGCCTCCAGCCCAATCAGCATCAGAGTAAGCACGAAATTCAAGAGATGAATGAGTAGAAAAGTGAAGTCCATGAAACATGGTACCTTTAAGATATCAAATAATGCGAAGTACTGCTGCATAGTGAGTAGAGCGAGGCGTAGCCATAAACTGACTAACAACATGAACTGCATAAGTTATGTCTGGTCATGTTGTAATGAGATAAATCAAACTCCCAACCAACTGTTGATAGCTAGTAGGATCAGCTAATGGAGAACCATCTATGGATGTAAGTCGAACATTGGGCTCAAGAGGAGTAGATGCAGTCTTATTGTCAATGAGTCTAGCTTTAGATATAAGATCAGAAGCATATTTTGTTTGAGAGAGAAGATAACCATCATTAGAAGAGGTGACCTCAAGGCCCAAGAAATAGCTCAAAACACCCAGATCTTTCATTTCAAATTTATGACTGAAAAATTGCTTAAGATCATGAATACTTGAAATATCATCTCCAGTAATAATCATATCATCAACATTAAGGAGTAGAACCATACCATGATCAGTCTCGCGTATGAATGGTGCAGTATCATGAGGACTAGAAGTAAAGCCAAATTCACTGATGGTGCTCTGATACCATGTTAGAAATACAAAAAGAAGGAGAAATATTTGAAGAAAAATTTATTACTTTCTTGAATGATACTATATGTACAATGACTTATATATAGGTGTTTACAAAGAGAATATTCTGAGGTACAAAGTATATAAAAAGAATATTTTAAGGTATAAAATATTTACAATAAATGTGAATATAATCTAAATTATTGCATTTACATTTTAACACTGGGTTTAACATATCTTTTTCCCTCAATGGCATTAAACTCCAATAAGTTACTTGCCTACTTAAGATTGTTTTAACCGTATTTTTTTTGTTTGAGGATTAATTTTCCTTTTGGTTGTACAGGGTGGTTTATCCACTTGGTTTTTTATTCCTTGTGTCAAAAGACATGAGATTCATCGTGCTAGTTCTGCTGGACTTCTTATTTCTTAACAAAGTACTAGCATGCGTGCATTTAATCATCTTTTTTGTCAAACAAAGATCATAGACTTTCACTGCAACTCCTTTCATGTGACAAGTAGGAGATGCTATGTCTTATTGCATAAGATGTTAATGGGTGTGTGAAGATTAGCATATTTAAATCTCCTTCATTTTTGTTTTTGGATATCAGATTGGGAACTGGTCTAGATGGCT